ACCGCATAATAAAAATCACCGTCGGGATATAAATTTATTTTCCTGTTTGTTTGTATTTTTCATCGCAGTGCGATTTGGCGTGCACACAACCTATCAATCATACTGGAGATGGCAGAGAGATACGGGTGCTGGTGCCGTGCTCTGTCCATATGTGAAAATGTGTTTACGCGACACGCATGAAATGCAACATTTGCTTATGTTCATTTATCACGCATCGTTCGCAAATGATGAAATGCATGCAAAGTGTCTGTTATATGCCGCACCTGAAACGCGTTTAATTTGAGAATTTGATTCGATTTTATTTTCTTTTAAATTCGCGTGTGATTTTTCTGTGAAAAAAATTAATAAATGACAAACTATATTATTGACAAATTGTTCCTATATATGTTTACATATAAAAAACGCTAAACGTTTATACATGAAAACGCATTAGTCAGCTTGTTGTATACATTCGATGTAAAACGACATTTTTTTGAAGCGTTATTTCGCATACACTTGTTTCAATTTTTCGAATTTACGATCATTCTGTTGCCGCACTTTATCAATTGCGGTATATGTGGCGCGGTCGCCGCCGATGTGTGGCGCAACATTATTAATTCGTTTTCCAATTAAAGTGTCACGGTTATTAAAAGAAATATACACGAGTCAACGACGAATGGGAAAGTGGTCGCGGATATTTGCGGCGATATTTTTCTCTTGAGTGCAAGTTCAGACAGACAGCAACGATGTTTGCATGATAGAATGTACACACAGGACTAAAGGGAAAACGACGCGCAGAAATACAATAGAGGCCGAAACGTCTCGAGTAGAGAAAGAGAGAGAGAGAGAGAGAGAGAGAGAGAGAGAGAGAGAGAGAGAGAGAGAGACAGAGAGAGAGAGAAGATGCGATCGCGAGACCCTTCGCAAGTGGTTTCGAAATGTATGATAATAGATTCAGATCGGCGCGGCGCGTGAGTATTCGCAAGAAAACAAGGGAACAGATAGCGGATAGAATAGTAATAAGAGACAATGAAAATAAAAAAAAAAAAAGAACCTCTCGAATGAGCACGCCAATTTTAGCACACGAAAAGTGCTCCTCTCCAAATAACCGCGCGCGATTCGTTTATCGTTTATCAATTGCGAAGAGTACACAGTTCTAACGGAACAAATCGGCGTAAAATATTGCGCGAAATAATTTAATTTCCGTTTACGGCGTTTACGTATACATACCATAGGTGGTGGATAGAGCGCGCACAATCCTTATCTAAGGTTAGCGAAATGTCCGATTTACGATTAGCCCCTTTTCCCACGATTGGACCCACTCGAAGAATTCCGCAGCGGAACGCGCGCTCGATTCCGGAGTCAAGTTAGATTGAACCGGGGAATATCGGGGTCGGAAATCGTTTCGGGATCCGCGGCAGACCCTCGCGAATCGCAAAACTTCCTTCTGGTTTGTCAGTGGTATACCGCTAGACTAGCCGCTGCTCGGTTCGAGCACGTGAACCGGGTCAACTTCCATTTGAAATGCGCTGTAAAACTCAAGTAAAGGTAAAAATACCTGGTGCGAAATGAGCAGTAACTGGCCAATCGATCCGATTGCGCTTTCCAATCTCTTTGAAAGGTAAACAAACCGCTTATTTTTAAAGCCAAAGTACTGTAACGAATTAAGAATATCGTATATACGAATACTCAATTATCTGATATACGCATGTAAATGTTCCTTTTTATACACAAAAGCGACTTGCAGATTCTTCTGCTATTAAGCCTTGTTTTTTTTGTTTTTGCTATTTATTCAAATTCGAAAGTTGTGTCGCCACGTGACGTTCACGAAACCCGGAGATTCGAATTTACGTCCCGAACTTGTAAATCTCTTCTTGATAAATGGAATAAAATTTCTCAGTCTGTGTACTTTAAGTCACGCTGAATGTGGTGTAATTTATTCAAGCTAAATTTGCAGCAATTCCAACTGCGATAAAGGAAAGTTAAACCTCGCCGTTTTCCTTGAAGAAATTAGAAAGAAAAGCGGAACTTGGCGCAAAACTTGGGGAGGGGGGGTGACTTTACGGGAGAAGTTTTGTCTCTTCTCGCGCACATCGGCCAAATAAAAATAAATGCTTAACCGGGAGCGTCAAAGCGATAATTATAGCATTTGCACTATATAAACGAATCATAAGCGTAACGCTTTTATATCTTCGCTATATACGTCATTTCCCAGGTCGAGATGTGTTCGAGTTGAAACGCAGATGTAACTATAAACAACAAACGGCGCAAGAAAGTTTTCCGTGAAGGAAGATTCACTTACGATTTTGTTTTCATGGATATAAACTTCTCCTCCCAGCAACCGCTAATAAGTTGGAGAATTTAATTCAAAGCGTTTATTGAAGCTACCGCGCCATTCAAACGAAACCTTCTTCGTAAAGGATACAAACACAGCGACATTTCGCGGTGCAATTTCTTCCCATTAACGTAGCGTGATACTATAAATACTTATTTATAGTATCTATTTATATTTACGGTATTATAGAAGAGAAATCTAAATTCGGATTGTCAATATACAAAAGAAAAATGTATCTGTATTTTTTAACAGAGAATTCTCTAAGCGCGCGCGCAAAGTTATTTGTTTTTATTATTCACACTCAGACAGCTACTAATAAGGGGTATCTATGCACATTTTGCGCGTATGTATAGATATAGGACGTGTCGCGCGCTCGTCTCTCTACGCGAAAAGAGCGGGGGCGCGTCCCAAGAGGCGCATTTACGAGCTGGATAACATTTTACACGGAGCCGAACGCTGAACGTCGAAGCGATACTTTATCGGAAAATCCGTTACGTAAAATAAAAGCACTCCGAGGCTTTGCGACGCGTAGCCGTCGCTTCCTATAGTGAGAGATCGAAATACGAGACGGGCGACGCAGCTCGGCAAGAGTAACGCTTCCGTATAAATGGCTCGCCACGTCGTACCGCGACGCTCCAATTCGCTACCTACTGGGAAGAGATACTGGAAGGAAAAGGTATAACGCAACCAAAAAGAGATTTCGCAACATTGAAAGTGCAAAAAGATCAAAACACACACGCACACATGCGTATCTATATACGTATACGTATATTGTATACATGTATATGTATTTTATACACGTATATAACATTAGAAAGAGAGGTGAGGAGATATGCTGCACCAAAATGCATAAACACACACATGTAACACATTTTTCAATTTTACTGAAACACTGAGAGAACTTTTACCGGAATTTGATGTGTAATTAATTAAAAACCGTTATTGCGAGAAATTGCACTTCGGTTCGAACCTTTGGGAACTATCTGCTCATGAGGCAACGTATATTTTAATTCAGCTGAGAGACATGTGATAAAATATACTATATTTCTCACAAGCGCACGCAAATTGTTATGTAAAACGATTTTTTTTTAAGACATCAAATAAAACTTTCTAAGAATCAACGAAATAACGTCCGGCTCTTCTCAATCTTTTTTTTTTTTTTTTTTTTTTTTCATAGTTTTGCTCGAAGACGACATTGTATTTTTTCTACCACGTGTATGTAATATTCATATCAATGTGTTTTTTAACATTATGTGAACGACTCCGCTGGTTTACGTGAATTTTGCGAACTTAGAAGACCGAACCGCGACGTGAATGAAAGCCACAGAGAATCACGGACGGTGGCAGGGTGAGGGAGCTTTGCGGAAATCCTGATTTATCGCTCCTTCTCGATCACTATCGGTATCCTTGAGGGAGGCAGACGCTGCATAATGACGTCAACGAATAATAACGTCACTGTGGGATTCGGTTCACGTTTCTCAAGTTTTATGTATCGCGGATGGAAAAGGCGAAAAGCTTCGAGACGAAAAATTCAAAAGTCTATGATGGTTTTCAATTCACGCGCTCCGAAACAAACGCACCGCGCAAAACATTTTGTTATTTACACTTTGCAATATAATATAAGGGCACGTATTTATTATCAGTTTTCACAGTTTCTTTTCGTGACTGAACTTTTGAATTTTACAGACATATATAACGCGAATTATATTGTCTCTTGAATTTTCAAGTTTTTCAAGTTCTTGTATTATTTATAAAAGAAGTGTTATGTTTTTTTTTTTATAAATTATTCATTTTAACATAGATACTCGTGTTTTCGTGTAAAAAAGTGATATTTTACTACTTCAACTACTTATAACGCTGCTACATTAATCAGATCATCACAAATATGCATAAAAATTTTTCATTGTGAATAATTTTAAAATTATCATAACATACAAAAATCCTTATGTGACATAAACAAAAGAGGCAATAGACTCGCGTAGAATGATATCAATGACATAAGATGGCACCAGAATACGGATCTGAAGTAAACTAGTCGATAAGATCTCACGTGATGGCGGTACGACAACTCGCGACTTTATCTATATATTTTATCAGAGTGATAAAACATCGATTTTTTTATTTACTTTATAGAAAAACGACACACACACACACGCATATATATTTTTTTGTCTTTTAAATAAAAACTAAGTTTTAGAGTAATATTTTTGGTTGATAATCTTTGACCACCGCATAAAGATTATATAACGTTTTTGTATTTTACTAATTTGTTTTTAGTTACGTATATCTAGATCAGTTGTAATAATTAAAACGATACACAATATACACATACATAGTTTCTCTCTCTTTTCTTCTCTCTTTTTCTTATTCTTTTATTCTTTCTCTTTTTTCTCTCTGTTTTTCTCTTTCTCTCTTTGACACATTTACAGCACAAAATTTAATATAAAACATCAATAAATAAATAACATAAAAAATCAATAAATATATGTCTATATAATAATACGTAATATAAAAAATAAGGTCGACAATATTTTATACCGACCGACATAGTGAACCGCTCAATAAAATGTGTTCAGCCAGAGAAACTATCAAGGCAACAAAGATGACGCGGTCAAGCAAGTAAGAGAGCATCGCACTAATCTGCTATCCTATCGCGATCATCAGTCGAGTTTATGCAGCGTAAATGAGTAGTCGTTCTATTGCGTGCGTGAAGTAACGCGTACTTTTACAATATCAAAAGCATAGTGTCTTTTGTGTGTTGTACTTATTTATTTTTACAAGAGAGATATAACTAATTTTTTATTTCAAATCTTCATTTAGAGATACTAAAAGTTGTTTGTCATGTTATGTAAATTCTACAAAAAAATATTATTGAAAAGTGTTTTTTTTTTTATAATTTAACACGGTGATTTTTTTATTGTAATTAGCGACGCACAAAACAATGTCGACCGACTGCCTTTTAATGCTTCTCCGAAAAGTTTAACAAGCGTAAACACAATGTAACAATGTGATCAGTGCTTCATCACAGTCAACGTATTGTGTGATCATATATATAATTATTTGCAATATGTGCAATTATCGAAGAATTATAATCTGCTTATTACTGGAAAAATATTAATAGAAAAAACGTTATAAACTCACTAATGAGTGCCGTGAAGTTTGCTTAGTTTTAAAATTCTCGCGAATCAATTACAAGAGATCACAAGAATGTTCGAGGTCATTTTTTTTGTTAAAAAACCAGTTCACGTTGTCTAGAAAAACTTGTATACGATGTAAGATAGCTCAAATTATTCTCAATCGTTTATTTGTTCAGGAACAAAATTATTGTCACACTATAACGAACGAGAAAGAAACTTATAGTTTTTACTTTTTACAATGAGAAAAAATACTATGATATCAACAAAATGTATTTAATTCGCAATCAATACGTTAAAATACGTTATATATTTTATATAATTCAAGTCTATAAATTAAAATAACATGATTTTTCTTGAATTTTAGATTAATGAATATTTTTGGTTTGACCGCCGCATATAGATCGATTATGTAATGTATACTTTCATATTTTATTAATTTTTTTTCTTTGTGTGCGTCTAATTAAGTCAGTTATAACAGTTAAAAATTAATAAAAAAATTTTTTTGATACAATTATAATTATGATAAAATTATAATTATAATTATAATAAAATTATAATTATAATAAAGACTTTTTTGTAGATAAGTGTTTTGTTTTTCTTCGTGAGATATATAATGTAATTGCACAAGTCATTTTTTATTTTTATAAATTGCATATGTAATTATATATATATATATGTATGTATGTGTGTGTGTGTATAGTGAAATTTACTTATATGAGAAAACTAACAATAAGGATCAATAAACTTGTGAGAAAATTTTTCTGAATATTCTTAAATTTAAAAGAAAAACATTTTTAATTTATAGAGAGAAATGTACAGTCAAGGAGTTTAAGATCGAAAGGTTTTTATATAATCGTTATAACAGTCATTTACGTCACGTACAAAAAGTGAAAAATGTGTCAGATAAAAAGAATAATGAGTTTTAGACTTTGCGATATGTTGACATTTAGATTGATCGATTTTTCATAAATTATCTCGGGCTACAAGAAATAGCAAGACAAAATAACGAACTTGACACATATATCTTCTTTTTCGTCGCGAAAGTGATCGCACGAGGCTTCGAAGAACAGGTTCTGTGAGTTTGAAAACAAAGCCCGAAAACACGCGGTTGGGGTTGTAAAACACTCTCGGTGAGAGTCGTATATTTCCCATAAAATCAGAGAAGAAGAAGAACCTGAGATCATCCTTTCGTGCTGGAGAACACGCGCCTCATTACTATATTTAAGGTGACTGTGCCGTACCGGAGGAGAACGGAGGCGCGTGTTCGGCAGTCGACATTATATCTTCAATGAACCGGAAGTGTCGTTCAAGGAAGAAAGGTTCGGCCGACGCCGATGACGAGAACGACGGAGCCGACGATGATCAGCAACAGCACTTCATCGAACACCACCAGCTTCTCCATCGTTTTTCCGACTCTCTGTGAGAATTTTACCGATTTTATCGGTCACGATGTGCTGGCTGAACAATCGACCGAGTACTTGCTATCGGAGAACGTGACATGTCTGGAACACGCCCCCAAACTGACCAGGGCGGTGTATCTCAAGGTCATCGTTTTGGCGGTTATGTCGTTCCTAAGCCTGATCTGCAACCTGGCGACGATATATTCCATTATAAAAAATCGTCGAAGACAACGGAACTATTCGGCGATGTATACGTTGATTCTTCATCTGTCGGTGGCCGATACATTGGTCACCATTTTCTGCATGGTCGGCGAGGCGATCTGGAGCTACAACGTCGCGTGGTTATGGGGCAACGCCGCGTGCAAGATCTTTAAGTTCCTGCAGATGTTCAGTCTGTACTTGAGCACTTTTGTGCTTGTGTTAATCGGTGTCGATCGATTTATCGCGATTCGATATCCCATAAAGGGTCTCAACACATCGCAAAACTACACGCGAGTTGTTCTTTTCATTTGGGCGCTGTCTTTCGTTCTCGCCACTCCTCAGGTAAGATTTTATACTACATTATATATGTTCTCTATCATATCAACACATTTTTTCTCTTGTATATTTTGCATTTAATGCGATATCTACACTATGCAATTGCCATAATCATATATTTTTACATTTTTAATTAATATAGATATTATATTTGTGCGCCCACAATTTTAATGTCTCACATTGCACGCACAAATTAAAAAAAAATAGGATTTTTTATATTTTAATTTGACTGAATTACATCGTTAGTGAAGTATTAAAAACACAGCTTTTCAAAAGAATGTAGTCAATCAATTATTAAACTGTTACGTGTTGATTTTTCTTGATTGTCAACTTTTTGCTCGACGATGATGGTTTAGAAAAGAAAATTACATTGCCGCCTTGCAGATATGTATGATTTTCTTGAATATCAAATGTCAATTATACGTGTAAAAAATAAACGCCGATAGTTGCCGAGACAATTTCATTGATTTAGATTAAAAAAAAAAAATATGTATTCGTCGATAAATAAGTTTGCATATATGTAAGAATAATAGTATTTTTTGCTGATTAGAAAATCTTTGAAAATTATCGTATTATTCATTTTCAACATAAATCTAATATTATGTACAAGCTGGCAAACAAGGATAAAAAAGTGCATACGGAACTTGAATTGATTTATTGTTATTTAACCTAAATCTTGGAAAATAAGTTGTAGAATATTAGACGCCAGAACTGTATAATTGCCAAGAGCAAATAAAATAAACTTGATATAGTAAATAAGATTTTACTTTTTATTTTATTTTATTTTATTTTTTTATACTTATTGTGATTCATTGTTACGAAAAGAAAAGAAGGTTAAGTGTAAAGTACGTTTTTTGTTGTGTCATTTTAATAAAGAATAATAAAATTTTTGACATTTATACGTACGAACGTATACAACGCAAAATTCTGTCCGTCAAACGCGCAAAAGATTCTTACAATTTTGAATTTTGTATTGTCTTCGCGTTTGCGTGTTTATACTCTTCCGAAAAGAAAAAAGTTTTAATATTCTTTGGCAAAAAATTTGCCCCAATTAATGATACTGTAAACATAAATTCACACAAGTATCATTCACCACGCAATATGCATCCATAAAAAGTCGACAATATTCCATTGCATAAAAACTGGTTGAATATACTTCGCATTACCTATATTACTTTCAATTGCGTTGCAATTATCTCTTGCTTCTCTCTATATATGTCAATAAAGGAAACATATTAGATGGTTATTTTATTAGATGGCATATTATGATGGTTTTACCCTTTTTTTTCTCTCTGTCGTTACATTTATATTGCTGTGTTATAATATACGTTCATCAATAATACCACTTGTCAATGCCGAGATATTACAGTCAATTATTCTAATAGACGTTGTTTTCCTCAGTTAGAAACTAAGAGTAGATTCTGTTTTAGAAAAACATATTAATATTTATGTTAATCATTGCATTGAAACCTGCAAGGCGCGCTATATAAATTGTTGCGTAAGCATTTGTTATAAGTTACCTTAAAACCAACGCAAAATAAAAAAATACACGTAACAAGTCATTAGGCATAGTAGTGTTATATCGTAGTGAGATAAACAAAAACGGTGACATAAATAAATTCTAAAATGTAATTCGGTAATTCAGTAGACCGATTTCTTGTTGTCTGTCAAAAACAAGAAAATTAGAGTGTGAATAAGTAATTATTATATACGCCACACTGACTTGCATTATACAATATTTCCGGAAAAAAGAATGCGGACTGCGCATAATATAGTGTAGAGAAATAATATATATGTATAAAATAACTAAAAAAGTAAGTGTAATGAGACCTTAAACCATTTAATTTTCTATAAATTTGTTCTTTGTTTTATCATTGATGTGTAAAATATTGTAATAAAATTATTTATGTGATTTATATATATATATATCATAGGTGTATAAAATCGCAACAAAATTATGGATTTAGAAATTTCACTTTTTTCAAGATTTTCGCCATTCTCGTTGCAGTTACATTGAATCAGTATGCTACTTGTTCGAAAAGAATAAAGATCGCGAACCATCACCGAGTCAGAGAATAATGCTGTCGTCACGACGTAAGATAGAGACTGCAGTCTGGCAAAGATTAATAGTAAACATGTATCCCGATGTGCCGGGATACGAAACATGGCCCACTTAATCAATGCATCTCTTTCTCGTTCTGTGAAATTCTTTTTACGGTAACGGCAATCTTCGCTCTATGTCACCGTGGTGTATCGATTTTACTCGGAGGAAATACGACGAATTTGAAACTCGATCCGTTCAAACACGCAATCACGGCTGTCGGTCAAAAAGTCAGATTAATGAACGAACGCTGGTGGTAAACGGCATTTTACAAATAACTGTTGAAAGTGACAAATATTAGCTCCGTGTTTATTTTAACGTCTTTCTTTACTATTTATAACACGTATGCAGATACTACATACATATGTACGCAACTCGAAATAAAAGCATTCGATAACATTCGATATTTATCGTCTATATAAAGTGAACTTTTCCATCAGGTTTTTTATTTTGTCTTTTGTGTTTTAATTTAATTTATAATATATACTGCGCTCTAGTAAACAATATGTAAATTTTTTTAAATTTTGCATTCTGCAGTTCTTTTTTCTTTTTTCTTTTTTTTTTGTTTTTGAACACTGACCGATGCATTTTACATTTTAACAGGCCGCTGTGTTTCATGTCGCGCAAGGACCATTTATCGAAATATTTACACAATGCGTGACCCACGGTACCTACACAGAGGCTTGGCAAGAACAACTTTACGCCAGTTTCAGTTTGTTCTTTATGTTCATCTTGCCATTAGCGATTTTAATTGTCACATACGTATCTACGGTGATTACTATTTCCCGTAAGTACTTCGTGCGCGTTTTCATTTTCGTCTTTTTCTCGCTTTGTACAAATTGATTAAATGTTATTTTTTCTTTTCAGAAAGCAAGAAAAAGTTTAAAACAAAATCAGGAAATGATAAAACGTATGTCGGAAATATCAGCGAGAAAAATAGAAGAAGACTGATGAACCGAGCAAAAGCAAGATCATTGCGTATTAGCGTTGTCATCGTAGCGGCGTTTCTGATTTGGTGGACGCCCTATTATACGATGATGATAATCTTCTTGTTTCTCAATCCCGATGAGCACGTAAGTATTTCACTTTAATCGAAAGCGATTACGTATAAAAAAAAACACGTGAGATTACTCGTGATTACTACTACATTTAAAATTCAAACGTTAACAACCGCATATACAATAACTTCCAGCTCAGTGAGGAGTTGCAGAGCGGAATATTTTTCTTCGGTATGAGCAACAGTTTAGTAAATCCTTTGATATATGGCGCGTTTCATCTTTGGCCTCAGAAACAACGACAAGGTTCTTATCAAAGGTGAACAAAATTTATGAAGCTTTTCACTGTGTGTCGTATCTAGTACATTCTTTTCAGCGTGTTTTCTTCAATTTCACCTGTTTACACAAATTATGATAAATATATATACGCGTGTGTACACGATATAATATGTACACGTCCTGTACGCAAAATTAAGTGCAAAATTTGTTACGGCATAAATTCAAATATATATATCTAAGTAGGTAAATGCGAGAACTTCAGAAAGTATTCAACAAAATTGAGAAAATTTATGTTGTAATTGTTTTTTATAGGTCTGACGGTGTCAGAATGCATCAGCAACCTATAAAAAAGCAACGCGAAATACAATTGCCACTTCTGTCCCATCAAAATAGTGGCAATAAAGCGACTATCCACAGTAGCATTAGATCTAATGATTCATTGAATTAATTTATATGTTTATATATAAATGCAATATTAATATATATATATATATATATATATATATATACATTATAACAAAGAGTGATAACACAGCCAGTAAATGTGGAAAAACTATTTTTCATATTACAATTTTGTAAGTTATAAATTTTTATAAATAAAAGCTGTCTTTTGCACATTTTTATCACACGCACGCATACACATAGAAATAAATATGTATCTATGTGGTAGGAAAAACAAATACTCACATGTATATGTACATGCAGTATATACAATATACATGTAATGTATATGTATGTAATATATCTGTCTTTTTCTGACGCGGCAAGAGTCGTACAGAGACTTCTTTACCGAAAAACAGAGAAACTACCAGAGAAACTGCGCGGTTTCTCGAGAACGAAACAGAATGAAATAAAGTGACCATCGATCACGGTTTAGCTTTTACAGCTGATTACATAACTATACGGATTGCCAGAGATACACTGTTTCTATCTCCACAAAATACTTTCGTCTTTATTTGTATTAATTTTTTAAATGTGTGTTCTGACAATCTAACGCTAATTGACAGAGACTTATGACTTATAATTTTATCTTTCTCTTTTTTTTTTTATTCTGTTATGTTATTCTTTCTTATATTTCATCTTTTTATCATTTAGACGACGAAGGCGTTGTCAATCTCTATTACACTATGAAAATACATCGACCAGCAGTTCCTTTTTACATAGTCAAAGGGTTTTGCTAGTGATTTTTTAACCAAAGTCCCGCAACCACGTTAAAGTTAGATCAGATTAGAATTATGTATTATTGCGAATGTCCGATGCTTTAAGGCCCGATTTCTTCATACCTCTCGATAGCTATCCTCTGGAAAGATATGCAAAAAGATACACTTTATCTTTTGGATAAAGTTATCGAGAGATCAAGAAATTGGGCATAAGACACAGGTACCTGCGAGACGATAATAACTGCGAGAATACAGAACAATTCAAACATAGCTTTGCACCCGCTCCGATATCGATCTGTCTGTCAATCTGATGTATCGAAGTGCGATATTACAATTCTCGAAATATATCGAATCAACGCGTGTGACAGTGCGCGATATTTAAAAACTCATGGATATAAACAACAAAAAAACGGTAGAAATTTAATGTCGAAAGCCGAGCTCGTATAAAAGCACATGTTTTATCGTACTTTTTTAAACTATTTATTTATATATAATATCTTGTTCTCACATTGTGTGTTATATAATAATATATAGTTTTTATTTAATAAAAAGTACACAACGCGTCACTGAATCGCGGAATAGGCGCGGGGATCGGGAGGCAAGCGGGGCGATTGCTCGTAGCGCCAACGAGCGCCGTGCGAACTAACTAGTAGCAATCGGTTGTCCACAACTACGTCGTGTCGATAATGTAACTGCTCTTCCTTCCTATTTTCTTCTCAAAACGTAAAACTATTGGCCAATTACTTAATATTTAACGTTGACAAATAACATGTATATATATATATGTGTGTTTAATAGATGGATCTATTACTGCCTCCGGTAATTGGAAGGAACGTATATTGTAAAAGTCTCGTTTAAAAAAATATATGTATATTGAATATTAATATTTATATGTAACCACTAAATAAGTATAATTCTATTATATTATTAATTTATTCTATTATATGTATATATTATTGTGTATACAATTAAATATATGTAAAAATCAAAACATTGAAAAATGAATAGGGCAAACCGTACATAAATAAAATAAAAAAGATATAACAAATAAATATATTATAACAAATA